AACTCATAAGCCATTAAATCCTTGTAATCAGTGTTGGAGTGATTAAAGGGAGTCCTAATGCCGTCGATTAACACTATATTTTTGCCAAACTTCTGGTTGTCAAACGTGTGGACACTTCTCACACCCGACGCTGTGGACACCACCAGTGGCTGCACACACTGGCGGGACAGTAGTCGACCCCCGAGTGACAGATACATGACTTCTTAGGCGGTGGTGGTAGTGGTGGACAGACACCTGTAATGACAATCAATTGCATTGACAATGACAATGACATTAGTATCAAGTGTAGCGTAAAGTGCTAACTAAATGAGGCAAACATGGTACAATATACTTACGCAAAATAAATGAGCTTATTCAAATAATTTCGTTTGCTAATTATTAGTAAACACTTTTGTATGAATTATTCACTAAAACTAGTTTTAATCACTTTTTGACGGAAATACTAATCAAATGAACGCTATATGTGTTGTTCAACCATTGACTGTACGGTATGGGTATAGGGGCTGATCATAGTAGACGTTACGCGTATAAATGTAGGTGCAAAAGTGGTCCCCAGTTATGAGAATGTGAATCTAATAAACATTTGACTGTACTGTATAATCGAGTAGACTTTGCTAGCTAACAATTTTTATTGTTTATTATTAGTTTATATTTGTAATGTTTATTATAAAATAAAATAATAATATTTCACTTGCATGTTGTATACCCATTAAGCTATGTAATTAATAATGATTTTAAAATTGCCTTGCTTCCTTGCTTAAATAAACTGCTATTTAACTATCAATGCTGAGTACATTGGAAAGGTTATAAAATTAATATTAATTATATTTTTAAAAATTACATATCATTATTAACATAATTAAATATAATTTTTACTTACTATGTTTGAATTTAAAATTTTATTTTTATTATTCATAAACTTGTTTGTCAAGCAAATATACTTAAATTTAATTATACAGTATTATAGCAATATAACTCCTACCCATTAATTGTATATAACGTGTTATACTAACCGACTAACACATTATGCACTCAATTGTACTCAATTTTATTTATAATATAGCGATAATACCTAATAATAAACGCGAACTTTGCATTCAATTCAAGTCAATGTGATTAACGTGTAATACATGACAGAAATAATTATAAATATTTGAATTTTACGTTTTGACTGGTGCTAGAAAATATAGATTAGTTTTATATTATCCCTTGGTCAAGTTTTATTAATAGGGTTAACAGGTTAAAATTAAACTAATAATTATTAGCTTCTTGATATAAATGTTAAATTCACCAGGCTACAATGTAACATTTCATAGTGGAATTTATTTGTGAATTATGAAAATAATTTATAAAAATACATTGCAGTACACAACAAATAAAATGAAAAATATAATTTATTACGAATTTATACAATAAAATGCATAATGAATTGCACTTGCTCATTTATAGGTCATAAGAAATAGTTGAATTGATTTTTCATTACATTTAATTGCCATTAAAAACGTTAGATCAATATTTGTATTATAAATGTTACTGGTGGTTTGAAAGTACTGTAAGTGGTTAATATAAAATAATTGCCTCTCTATTTGACCAAGGTGGCAAATGTTTAATTAATTTATAAATTAATATTTTAACTCGTAAAAATATATAATAATTAAATTATACTTAAGTGCATAAAATTCATTTAAATAAATATTATATGTAATACTTTACATGAGATTAGGGGTAGTACTGTATTATAAATTAAAAGCAACCTAGCACTGTCACGATTTAAATCTGGTTTATTTAAGTGCATACGATTCATTTGAGTAAATATAGTACACTGTACATACTGTATACTGTACACTGTACATAAGAATAACAAACAAACAAATTATAAAAAATTATAAATTATAAAATTAACAAATTATAAAAACAACCTAGTACTGTCACAATTTACAGCTGGCTTATAGTTTGATATAATTATTATTAATAGAATAGAATGAAATGAATTTATTTATAAGTTCAATGTGTAACATGCAATCTAGAATTCACAGGTAATATACTGTACCGTATGATTGATGAACTAACATTTTTATTTAATTTTATTTTTTACGGTGACCATACATAATATATTTGCAATATTCTCATCAACTTTAAACTTAAAGTTCAAACTTCAAACTAATCATTGTAAATAATAATGTTTTAAAAGTTACATAACATATAGATATTACTAGTAATATATAATTATTATATTAAATGTTGTGTGACTTAATCAATTGAATCAAACATTGAGACAATGAATTACAATAAAAAGATTCAATCATTTCTGTGGATATTTATTTATATGATTTTTGTATTATCATTCATGTATCTAATGTCTATAGTTATTAGAAGTGATTCATCAACGTTAATTTGTAATAAAGACAAATGTAATATTAAGGGTAATTATTATTATTTATTTGAATTCGTAAATTATTATATTTAGATTGTATTAAACTTTATAAATTACTTTTGATACTAAAGTTACGTTAAATTCTGTGAAACATTTACGACGAGCCCACACAACAGCTCAAGAAATCTTCAATTATTTGTCCATAACTTTGAATAAAACAAATCCTGTTGACAATGAAATTAAAAATAAAATTTTATCACAAGTGAGTGATATGAAAAAGTATGTATCATTAAAATATACTGAATTAAGATTATATGCTAATTTTAATTAATTTATAAATTATGGTAATTACTAATTAGTGTTATACAGTTGGAAATACAAAATGCAAATGAAATAATAGGTTTAAATGCTTATAAAAATAAAAGGCTGAAACAAATATCACATCAAATATACACAAAACTAGAAAAATTTCAGAATCCATCTAAAGATCTATGCGATAAAGTTTCCAAATCTGTTTGTATTCTCAATATCGGCGCCGGTTTTGCATCGGGAATACATGAGGTCTTGTGGTGTCTATTGTCAGCCTATTATAGCAATCAAACAGTTATATTGATTCCCGAGTGGTCACTATATTTCAATGATGGGGAGCATTGGAATGATATTTTCATTCCGTTGAGTACTTCATGTGATTATAAAGACTTACCTAAAGATCAGCTCAAAGCTCCTGAACGACCCAATACTGTCACCGA